AAACATATCCTGAAACACAAAGGACTGAGACAGTGGTGCTCAACCCTACTGTGTGGTGGGTCCCTGCTGAGGGGGGACTGCAGGCCAGCTTCACCCTGTGGAGCATGGTCTCCCCCGGTCCAAAAATTTGACAGCTGTGGACCACTAGCAGGAAGTTGCTGCTTCCCTGCTGCCAAGTTTCTGAACCCATGGGGGACCCACAAGACAGAGAGCATGACCCCGCACACTAGATTGGGCTCCACAGCCTCCACCCAGTCCATTCAGAGATCCAGGTCCTAATCAGCCTCCACCCAATGCAGCCTGAGGACCAAACCCATACCAGTCATTTGATCGGCAGGGACAAAAGGTTGAACACCACTGCACCAGGAGATTTTGTGCAGCCAAGTAATTTTGGACAAAAAAGGCACGTGCAAACAGGGCCTTCTGGGGAAAATGCTTGCTTCCCAAGTCTAGAAAGGAAGCCCCAATACCAAGTCCAGAAAGGGGATATGAGGTAGAAATGAAACAAGAACAAAAGGTTCTGGGAGATAATTTAAGGTGTGGAATTTCTCCCTCCTTGTCCCAAAGATACACTTCTATTTGGGACAGAGGAAATAAATGCCCTATAGACAAAAGTAAAATTGAAAAGGTGATGCCCAACTTGAAATTGCATGCCTCACTGTATAAAGAGACTCTCAGAACATTATTTTAAAACTCTGTACTGAAAGTGCCCAGATACAGTGAGGACTAACACTCTAGATGGATCCAAGGTAATAATTCCCAAAATAATGAAGTATACATTTCCAAAAAGTGTACAGAGTTCTTAAAAGTGAATTTAGCCTGCACTGTACGAGAGAGACAAAGGATTACAGACACAAGAAATCTACTTCTTCTGTGACTTCTAGAAGAAAGTTTCATTCTTACTCTGTTGAAGTTGCTCAACTGCTCCAAAACACCTGTTGGACCAGACATTGCCTACAGGCTCCCCTTCAAACGGGGCATGCTCAAACATCAAAGGAAGAGTGGGCTGCGCACAGTCTCAGAGGAAGACTGAGATTGAGAAATCTGAACAGCCTCACTGAGAATTAGAAAAAAGAACATACAATGAATGGGTAGTGGGTTTGGCACAAAAATACATTAATATAGTAAGAAAGAAAAACCAAGAGCTGAGGAAAGCAGTCCTAAAGTTAAAAAAAAACAAAAAAACGAAAACCTCGCTTGTATGTCTTGAAGCATTCTTATGTCAGTCTGCATTTGTTTTCTGAATACAAGAAAACTTGTTTGTTTACTCATTTACAGCAAAAAGCTTTATTTTCACGCACTATTTATTGAACCTGGTCTTATAAGCCTTATAACTTGCCATAAAGTCAACATGAGTTATGATAATGTGAAACACCTTCAGCATCTGTTAACTAGTAGCAGTGATACAGCTAAAACCATCCATCATATTTGGGCAGTTATTAAATATGTATGTGTGTCAGCAATCTCTAAATATACCAACTAGTTTCTCCATTATTTATGCACATACACAACGTACAAATTATGATAATATTAAAAGAAATTCATGGAACTTCTAAACTTGTTCACATCCCTATTCCTAAATCTAGTAGATTTTTGAAAATCCAATTCTAAACTTCTAAGTTTTGGTTCAGGATTTAAGAAAAAGCCAGCAAGGAGTGCTTTGCCTGAAAAGGATTTTGAATAGAATACATAATTGACATTTAAGAAAATGTCAAAATGAAGGTACCACAACTCAAGGTTTCAATAAGATTAATATTTGACCAGTAGAGGGCACTAACCTAACTCCCTCAATACATTAGACCAGATTTATAAGGGTTAGCTCCTACACTGAACTGCACAGATTTAATTAACTCTGTTCCTTAGGCTGTTTTAATTATTTAGATGCAAGTTACCACATGGACACTCATTTCAAAATAAAAAGCAGAAGACTCTAACAGACAAACTGATTAAAATGAGCCAGTTTTATTCAGAAGTAAGCGTCCACACAGAAACTTCCACAGATTTTACTAAAGCAAGCAGTTTTAGGAAACAGATTTAGTTGAGTTAAAAGTCATAAGCAGAAATACACCAATTGGGCCTGGGGGGCCCCAAGAGCTTCCACAGGGACCACACAGCACTGTTATTAAATATGTTACTGAAAATATGTACAGGGATAAATAGTAACCATATTGCTTTGATAAACAGTGAACACTTCCCTCTCCCCTTCTCGGTGATGATGGCAACAACTCCTTTAGTCATATTAATACTTTCAAAGGTCTGAAATTTACATAATTATGGGTATTTACACAATTATGAAACTTGCTAAATATAAAGCAACATTTAACTTTTTCTCCCCAAATTTTAAAACTGATCACTTCTCCTTGAATGACAAGTGAATTTTCTAATTAAATGATGCCTTGCCTACAAGCTTGGATACATTTTTAGTGTTGTAAGCATACATGGTGGTTTGGCACACATATAAAAGGTACAGTCGCTGTCCTGAAGGTCCTACAATCTAACATGTTATTTTACAGATATTAGATATAGATATTATTTTTTTCCATCTGTTCAGACAGTATCCACTAAAGTAACACTTGGAGGAATACTACTGGATCAAGTTGTTTATGAAGGTAAAACACTGAATGAGGTGTGTGGAGGTGCGGGGAGAGGGGGGGAAGCGAGAGGGCGTCTTTAGTACAGCAATGCACAAACATTTTCCCAATTACTGGATCACAAAATAATGTTCAGGTCATCCTGTGCAGTTAGTCTGAAAGCTTTCAAGAATAAAAGCAACATTTTCTAGGAAGATTACTTCCCCTCCACCACCTGGAAAGTAGTTTCATTTTAACAGTCTGAATACAGTGTCCTGAGCTGGACACTACCAGTGATAGGGAGCAAATAACAGCCACTGGGCTTCTCTCAGTTCTAGTAACATGCCTCAATTCTGATATGAAATATCCATGTCATACAAGTCCTGGGCATCTAAGCAAAACTCTGATTTTGCACAATCATGGTAGTTAAGTTGTAAGTTTCTATTATGGAGATTTGTAACTTCAGAGACATGTTCCTTTGGCAAGAATGAGCAGTCACAAATGCCATGCTACTTCTATCCATTTCCCTTATTCTTAGCTTCACACACTGTACATTTTTAAAGATGACACAAGAAGGGCCGCCCTTGTGTTACCAACCAGATGCTCTTGACATCTATGCCCACCAAGCCTCTATTTTTTTTTTAATTTACCGAGTCCTACCCTTGCACTTAAGTCTACTGCATTTTATCATGTCAAATTAGATTGGGAGCTCTTTGGGGCACAGACTTTTATGCCGTTTTGCATAGAGGTATATCAGTATATTGATCCATACCGGATCGGCACTGATAAAAGGAAAATTGACATTATTGGCGATCGGCTTTTTTGGCTGATGTAGCTGATAACATCACCGATAGATGCCACGCGCATGCACACAGCCACAGCATATAATTGGCAGGGAATGCAGCCCAGCAGCTTAGAAAGCACAGTCCAGCTGGTAAGTCTGTGGGGGAGGGGACATGGGGGAGGGAAGGGGCATGGGGGGTTGCAGATCGAGGCCCCCAAAGTGAGAGAGAGAACTGGGATGGAGCAGGCGCTGCCCAGCCAGGGCAGAGCACAGGAGAGGCCTGGGCACGGGGAGGCAGAGAGGAGGACAGCTCCTCACAGCTGTGCACACCCCAGGGGAGGCATGGGGAGCAAGTGCCCCTATATCTGTGTGCAGTACAAGGGTAAGCTGCCTGCAGTGGGCTCTGGGCTAGGGGCTGCGCTGGCTTCTTCCCAGCAGGAGGCCTGGTCTGGGGCTGTGCTTGGGGCAGGGTAGGGCAGACAGCAGCAATGCTGGGAAGAGGGGCTATGGTGTAGGCTACAGCCACCCCAAATTCACTGTAGCCCACCCTGTAGCCTCCCCCTCCCCCCTCTAGTGCTGCTGCTGC